TTGAGGGATTAGGAAGCAGAGCCCTGGGTCACTGCTGCTTTGCTGGCCTTGGAGCCTAGGCCCAATTCCTTGCTGACCTATGGGAGGAGTGCTCTCTGGTGCCCCTAGTGGTAGTAGCCAAGAGTCTCCGTAGGATCAGAAAGGGAGCCTGCAGGCTGGAAATCTTTCAGTACATTTCCAAAAATATTAATGGAACATGCGGCACAAAAGCAACATAGGTGATCCCAGGAACTTTAAAAAAAAACAACTTGAGTTTCCTCATAGAAAAGCCTGCTGCCACCTATGAAGGTGGCATTACAGATGAGAGACAGCTCAGGACTGCTAGCAAATAAGTCTTGTAGCTGCTGGGCTGGTTATAGCACCATGGTCAGGGAAGTATTGTTGAAAAATGAAGAAGTAGTCAGGTGCTGGTGGCTCATACCTGTAATCCTAGCTGCTCAGGAGGCTGAGATCTAAGGATCATAGTTTGAAGCCAGCCAGTGAGACTCTTATCTCCAGTTAACCAATGAAAAGCCAGAAGTGGAGGTGTCGCTTAGTGGTTGAGTGCCAGCCTTGAGTGAAGAAGCCAGGTAAGAGCACAAGACCCTGAGTTCAAGCCCCATTCTATACTGCGCATGTGCCCGTGCGTGCAACCACTCAGACTGAAAGACCTGGGGGAGCCTTCATGGAGATCCAGTGTGGGTCCTCTTTTGCCAAGACCTCTCTTGTCTCATCTTCAATGAGGACATCTAGCTCTGGAGATGATGCTGGGATTCTGATGGCCAGGTGGGGGAGACAGCGTGGGGGAGTCACTCATCTTGATGAATCTATCCCCAGAAGAAAAGGTACCCTGGGGTCGGTGGCACAGGCTGCCCAGGATGGGCCAGTTCAGGTGGCATTCCATTTCTCTGAGGGTAGAATGATGGGACCTTCAAGCTTGGAGGTCTGACAGGTAAAGATGGAAATCCTCATATTCACTAGCTGGTGTTAATCTTTATTTTTATTTTTCAAAAGAGGAATGGGAACACATCTACCGTGGCTGGATGGTTGAAAGAGTGTGGAACGAGGCATCAAGTATACTATGTGCTTGGTTCATGCTTAGTCCTGCATTTTTCAAGGGCATAATGATGGCCCTGGTGTTCTGGGAAACACCTGTGTAGCACCTGGAGCCTGCTTGGTTCGGGTCCAGGCTTTGGGAAGATGCCAAGAACAAAACCCTGAGGAAGTTTTGAAGGGAGGCAGCAGATCAACTGTGTGGGAAGTGTTGCACTGGGGAAGTGCAGGGTGATTTTTGGACATGGTGGACAGGGACAGGAGGTCCCAGAAAAGGCCTTCTAGACAAAGTACTGCCTAAGCTGAAATATAAAGAAAGATTAGCCAGGTTTGAGGAGGGGGCAGGGTCGTGAAAGAGTTTCAAGTCACTCAGTCTTAGAATAGGACTCAATGCAGATGGGACAGCTGGGCACTGGTGGCTCACACCTGTAATCCTAGCTCCTTAGGAGGCTGAGATCTGAGGATCGTGGTTCAAAGCCTGCCGGGGCAGCAATGTCGGTGAGACTCTTATCTCCAATAAACTACTCAGAAAAAGCTGGAAGTGGCTCTGTGGCTCAAGTGGTAGGGAGCTAGTCTTGAGCAAAAGCAGCTCAGGGACAGCACCCAGGCCCAGAGTTCAAGCCCCAGGACTGGCAACAAACAAACAAACAAACAAAAAACCGGATGAGATTCAGGTGATAAAACACAATCTTGCACCTCAGAGCAAGATATGGGGACTGAGCTTCGGGCCTTTCACACTCACTCCCATGCTTGCTCTGTTGGCTCTCTACTACTTGAGACACTCTCCCAGCCCAGCTTTTTGCTCTGTATTTGGAGATCCAGTCTCACAGCCTTTTCTGCCTTTACTAGCCTTGAACTACAAACTTCAGGAGCTTAGCCTCCTGAGCATCTAGGATTATAGGAATGAACTACTAACACTTTGAGGTTCTTTTTTTTTTTTTTTTGGCCAGTCCTGGGGCTTGAACTCAGAGCCTGGGCACTGTCCCTGAGCTTCTTTTTGCTCAAGGCTAGCAACTCTACCACTTGAGCCACAGAGCCACTTCCGACTTTTTCTGTGTATGTGTACTAAGGAATTAAACCCAGGGCTTCATGCATGCTAGACAAGCACACTACCACTAAGCCACATTCCCAACCACTCTGAGGTTCATAAAAGCCAGTAGAGAAGTGCTTCCCAGCCTGGACTGTTGGCTCCAGAAATGAGAGAATCTGAGGCATGGAGCCATCTCTCCTTTCAAGGTGGGGCTATTAAAGATATTTCCGACTCAATTCTTCTTCTCTTCCACCTCATCCTTGCTTTTCTGGTAGATCATGAGGTTCTGTGGTACCCACCCCCATTCCATTCAGTTAGTGCTGTGTGCTGATGGTGGTCAGGAGAGAGGTCTCAGGGCCTCTTTCTTAGGGAAGTTCCTAAGAAAGTGCCCAATGGGTACGGATGGAAGGACTGAGAAGCTGCCTGCCCAGGAGAGGGTGGGAGGAGAGACAGACAAGCTCCTTGCAGGGGGTGATCAGGCGCCTGGATCCCTAGCAACTATGGACAGGTTAGGCCTAGGCCATTGGAATTGGGCCCCGGGTGTTGGAGTTGGGCCACTTGCCTGGATCCTGTCCCCTGACTTCTCCTGTCTGCTCTCCTTTCTACAGAGACTTAACCCATTCTGCTTTTGACGCATTCACAAAAATAATGCTGAGAATAATCCCTAGGGAGGAAGAAGAATAAACAAGCTTTAAAAATGCAAAAGGAAATGTGTCCTTTATTTAAAAATAATAGTGAGGAAAAAAATGCAGGGGAGGGCCTTAGCCAATTCCCTTGAGTGAAACTTTCCAGCTGCTGTGACAGAAGGTCACAGAGTCCTCAGGGCTCTAGGGGAAACCTAAGGGTGGGAGGTTCCAGTTGGGATTCAATATGGGTTCAACTAAGAGTGAGGGCCAGGCTCAGTGGCCACCATGAGAGATCCAAGTCTTCAGTTTTATCCAACCTGAGGACAGCTTGGCTAGAGGAAGCTGGCAAAGACAACATAGGGCTGCTGGACCTGGAAGAGTAGGGTTAAGAGAAAGATCTCAACAGGCATGAAGTATAGAGAGGCCCAGGACTGAGAGGAAAATCTCCAAGGTCATGGCTGGCTAAGCTGGACTCGGAGGTCCAACCAGGATTTCATGTACTCAGAGGCCCCCAGGTAGAGTGAACAACGTAAGCACAGGCCACGGTAGGAAATCCCTCAGTGCTTTAAGGACAAAGATGTCCAATCTTCTGAAACATGTATTTATTTACTTGACAGGGGTTTTCCCCCCTTTTTTTTCCCTATGCTGGTAGTGGGGCTTGAACTCAGGGCTTGGGCCCTGTCCCTGAGATTTAGTGCTCAAGGCTATTGCTCTACCATGTAAGCCACAGCTCCACTTCCAACTTTTTGGTGGTTAATGGAGAGAAAAGTCTCACAGATTTTGTTGCCCCAGCTGACTTGGAACCAGGGTCCTCAGATCTCAGCCTCCTGACTACTCAGACCACCAGCACTCGGCTAACTTACCAGTTTTATGGTGATAAATCTCACACACATACCATAGACTCCACCTACTGAGTATCTATAATTTACTACCATGTAATACCATGGTTATTTATAGCATCATTTTAGAATGTCTTTATAAATCCTCAAAGAAAACATGGCTCCATTAACAGTCATCCCCATTCCCCAAGCTCTATTCTATAACTGATCTGCTTTCTGTTTCTAGACTGACTTGTTCTGGACATTTTCTATAAACAGAAGCATACATAGCCTGTAAATCTGGCTTCTTTCACTTACTGATTTCAAGGCTCATCTATACCATTTTTTTTCCTTTTCATCCTATTCTTTGATTTCATTCTTTTTCTTTCTGGTTGAATAGTATTCCGAGATCAATACTAGGATGTGGTGTGGGCATATCACATTCTTGTCTGTCCATTCCTCAGTTGATGGACGTTGTCTACTTTGATCCATCCTCACTCAGAGGCAGGGATGTGTGAGGGTCCACGTAGAACTGTTCCCTGCCCCTGTCCCTCCTCCCTGCCCCCCAACATCACTGTGTCATACCTGGCAGCTCTTTACAAGACAGAAAAGAGTCAGAATAGCTGGTATTGTTCCTGCAAATCAAGTATCTTATTTTCCTGTGGCCTGCTGAGGACCAAAGTTAGTTAAACACACAGAGAAGTACAAACTGTATGTTAGGTTAGAGGAGGGAATTTCAACAACAAGAAGTTGCTGGCCCAGGGAGAGACTCGGTCAGGACTGCCAAGGCCCACAAGTCAAGGGTGAACCAGGGCTAATCTGTGGTGTCCGCCCCATACACATGCACACACACATACACACACACGGCTGAAACTTTATTTATAGGCAATGTTGCCAGTATCTCGCTGCTGTTCCCATTCAAAGATGAGGACATATCTTTAATGACTACATTAAAGGCATCTGCCATTCAGGGACAGGAAGGAAACTAAGGAGCTGGGCGTCGGTGGCTCACGCCTGTAATCCTAACTACTCAGGAGGCTGAAATCTGAGGATCGTGGTTCAAAGCCAGCCCGGGCAGGAAAGACCGTGAGACTCATATCTCCAATAAACCACTAGAAAACTAGAAGTGGTGCTGTGGCTCAAATGGTAGAGCGCTCGACTTGAGCTGAAGAGCTGAGGGACAGCGCCCAGGCCCAGAGTTCAAGCCCCACGACTGACAAAAAAAAAAAAAAAGAAAGGAAACTAAGGCTAAATTCTCCAGGTTTGCTGCCAGCATCAGCCAAGCCCTGGCTTTTGTGTTCTGCCTCGTTTGGAGTTCATAGGAGAAAATACAAAAACAAGGGAGTTATGCTGTTTCAGTCTCCTAAAAATAGAAGACTAAATTCCACCCTAACCCAAAGCAAAAACACAAGCCAGGGCTTTAATTACCACCTTTTCTTTTCTTCCTTCCTGTTTTATTTTTTGTTTTGTGTTGTTGTTGGTTTTCTTCTCCAGCCAGAAAATATTATGTTGTTAGACAAGAATATTCCCATTCCACACATCAAGCTGATTGACTTTGGCCTGGCTCACGAAATAGAAGATGGAGTTGAATTTAAGAACATTTTTGGGACGCCGGAATTTGTTGGTGAGTTTTTAGGCCTGTTACTTTCTCAGCTGGGAAGCCGACATCCAAAGAGTTGAGAACGGCCAGGTTCTGATGGCTTACAGCTATCTGGAATCTTAGCTACTCAAGAGGCTGAGATCTGAGGACCGTGGTTGGAAGCCAGCCCAGGCAGGAAAGTTTATGAGACTCTTATATCCAGCTAACCACAAAAATCTGGAAGTAGGAGCTGTGGCTCAAGTGGAAGAATGCTAGCCTTGAGCAAAAGAAGTTCAGGGACAGTGCCAGGCCCTGAGTTCAAGCCCCAGGATTAGCCCCACACACACCTAAAAAGAAAAAAATTGAGAACAAAAAGAAATCCCAGAAACAAGCCTCCTAAGGCTGTGGTCTCAGGACTCATGATGAGAGATGGTACCTAATGGGTAGGAAGGAAGAAAGTATCTGCTAATGGAATGTCCGAGCAGGATTGGGTCTGAGTGTCCAACGGGACAAGGCGGGGCTGGAAAGCTTTGTAGAGTTCAGACTTCCAGACTTTACCCACTTCTGGCTCTTTAGATGAGTTTATTACATGGATTTAAAAATCACCCTCAGCCTTGGCTGGGAATGTGGCTTAGTGGTAGAGTGCTCCCCTAGCATGCATGAAGCCCTGGGTTCAATTCGTCAGTACCATATGCACAGAAAAAGCCAGAAGTGGCGCTGTGGCTCAAGTTGTTAGCCTTGAACAAAAGAAGCTCAGGGACAGTGCCCATGCCCTGAGTTCAAGCCCCAGGACTGGCAAAAAAAAAAAAATCACCTCAGCCTCCCACAGACACAGCCTTCTCTGGAGTAGCTTTTGGTTTCTAGCAAAGGAAAAAAGCAGTCATCTGCCAGATGCCCAGTCTACCCACCTGCCTCCTCTGGCTGCCCAGCCTGTATTCATTCCTGGAAATGCCCAGCTCCAGAGTGCCCTGGCCACTCTCTTCCTTCTATGCCCCTCCCCTTTTGTCCAAATCCCACCTATCCTGAACCCTTGATGCTCTCTTATAAGACTTGGGCCAGAAAAGTTGGGGAACACAAAGAAATATCCCTAAAAGAGGAAACAAATGAGTTCCTAGCTGTTTTGTTGGTTTGCTTATTTGTTTTCTTTTTTTTTTTTCCAGTAGAGTCTTGCAAACTTTTCTGCTTGGGCTAGCCTTGAACTAAATTTCCTCCCCATCGCGGTCTCTCAGGTAGCTCAGAAATCCTTGTAGAGTAGGCCTCAAAACTTGCGATCCTCCTTGTATTCCTCCCTCCCAAATGCTGGGGTTTACAGGTATGCGCTACTACACATAGCCTGCTCTGGAATCTTTCCGTTGACACGTGAAGTCTGAGTTCTTCCTCATTGTACTCATTTCCCTGCCAATCCTTTGAGAGGTCATGGACAATTTGATTTCTGTCTTCTTCCTCTGGACACTCTTTTCATGCTTACCACACCCCGCTCTCTGGTGCTCTGCGCTTCATCTGCTCCTCTTCTGTCCTTGGCAAGCACTCTTCTGGTTACCATGTGATTGGCTCAGCTCTTATTTCTACCTGGGCCTCGGTGACTCCAAGACTCTGACCCACTCTCCTATCACCAGCTTTCTTCTAGCTGCCTGTCAAAGTCATCATCTCATGACAGCCATCCCAAGAAGGAAATCTGCCCCTCAGGAGGGAGGTACTTCAATCAGACCAAACTCAGAGGAAGAGGCTATTCCAAAAGAATACCAAAAGTCCAGACATGGAGCTGTTACTCACATGATAGAGCACTTAGACAAGAGTAAAGAAAGCTCAGAAATAGTACTTACGGCCTGAGTTCAAGCCCCAGGATGGTACAAAAGAGACAGCAACAATTAAAGAAAAAAAAAAGACAGTTCTTGTCACTAGAGCTCCATTTTTCCTTCTTATCCTTTGTTTCTTTCTTATTCTTCTTTCTCTTTCAATTCAGGTGATTCTGTGTACCACACATTCCCCTCCTCCTCACTAGAAAGGTGGCCATAGGCTTCAACCAAGTTAACAGGTCGTGCATGTCTGAGTGTGTGTAGGTTGCCATAACAAAATACCTTAGACAGGATAGTTTATAAACAACAGACCGTGTTACTCACAGTTCTAGGGGCTTGGCAGCCCAAGGCAAAAGCAGACCAGTGTCTTACCTTCTACCTATGGCCTTGTGGGGCACAGGGAATAACATAGCTCCCTGAGATCTTCTGTAAGGGAACTGGTTCCAATGCTATAGGGTCTATTTTCCTGCCCTGGTCACCTCCTGAATCCTTTACATCTTTATTCTATTGCACTTCTCTCCTTTCCCTAACTAGATCAGGCTAATCTCAAACTGGCAGTCTTCCCACTAATACCTCCCAAGTGCTGGGATTACGGGTGTGCCGTACCCTACCCAGCTTGGGCTGTAGCAACGTCTTTCCTTAAAATTCACAGATCTCGGTTGCCTCCATCTGCTGCTTGGGTTTCCTTCCTGGAGATTTAGGATGGAGACATTTGGTGGTGCTGCATTCCCTAGAGGTCCATTCTAAACATCTCCTCCTGTTTTTCTACCTCTTCTTGACTCCTGAATGTGATTTCTTTTCAGCTCCAGAGATCGTGAACTACGAGCCCTTGGGACTGGAGGCAGACATGTGGTAAGACTTCCCTGGGTGGAAGTCCTTAGACCCTGCTCCAGGTGTGACATCTCCTTGACCGTGAGATTCCCTTTCTCCACACTCACCTTTTAGAGCTTCCGCTGCTCTAGTTGTGTGGGTGCTGCATCAGTCTGGGAACACTGCAGAGATCAGTTCTGTGCACAGAAATTGCATGGTTGCTTTATAGTTGGCTGAGTGCCTGGGTTTTCTACAATCCTGACAGTATGAAGGTGGTTCTTATTAGCCTCGATTATGGAAAAGAGGCTCACAGGTGATAAGGGACATGCTGAAATACCAGCGCTTACCAGTATGGGGTCCATAGATTCAGTATATAGAACTTGATGACCCCAAATAGGTCTTATACCACTTCTGAAGAGTGGGATGGAGAAGATTGTGGGCTGGGGATCGCATGGTGGAGGGGCGGTGCCTGGAGAAAGAGGAAGACTGCAGTCCTGACTCAACTCTTCTTTGTTTGCAGGAGCATTGGGGTCATTACTTACATCCTGTGAGTATCTCGGATCCCTGGGGCTCCAATCCAGCTTAGGGGATGAGAGAGGGTAGGCAGAGAGATAGATTGACATTTACAGAGAACCCATCATAAGCTGGCTATATTAAACCTACCCAGCAAACCTGAGGCTGAGTGCTCTGAGCTCCATTCCTTTGACCCTTCATTCACTTTACCCTGGGGCTGAAGTTGAGCAGGAATCCAGAAGTGCATCTTCCCTCCTGCTTTAGCCCGTGTCTCTGCATTTCTGCCGAGAATGCCAGGGCTCCCTGCCCAGACTCTACCAGTTCACTGTGGGAATGCCACGGGAGTCAGGAGCCTTAGGATAAGACTGGAGGTGTGGCTCAGTGGTAGACCAGTAGCCGTGGTTGGGAAACAGACAGACAGACACAGATAGAGATAGACAGAGACACAGAAAGACAGAGAAAGAGAGATAGAGACACACACATACACTCTTTTGGAACAATCATGAAGCAGCCTTTGCCTGCTCCTGCCTGCTCCTTCTTTTTTTTCTCCCCATCCCTCATCCTTTCCCCAAGTCCCCATTTCTTTCTTTCCTGTCCTGGGTATCTAGTTGCTTGAAGCAGAGATCTCCTGCCTTATTCGCTCACCAGGCCTCACCTGGAGTTGGAGACCCCATGCTCTTACTTTCTGGCCTGGTGACCTTTGATGGGAGATTTACCTTTAAGCCTGTTTCTTAAATCAGAAAAATAAGAGTCCCAAATGTCCTGCTGCAGGAAGGGGGTGGATAAGTACTGTGTGCACATACTCCTAGGCCTGTGCTGTGGTGTCCCTGGCAGGTAGAGGGGATTCAACTTTCCAGCCCTTCCACTCACAGAAAACATGCAAACATGGGAGATTCTATTTTTGTGTGTGTGCCATTCCTGGGGTTTGAACTCAGGGACTGGGGGATGTCCCTGAGCTGCTGCTCCTTTTTTTTTTTTGTGGGTCGTGGGCCTGAACTCTGGGCCTGGGCGCTGTCCCTCAGCTCTTCAGCTCAAGGCTAGCACTCTACCACTTGAGCCACAGCGCCACTTCTGGTTTTCT